TATTAGTTTTCTTTTACCACGATTTTATCCGGCGCGGTGAAAAAAAAAAAAAAAATTACACGTTTTTTTCTTTTTTTTTCTTTTCTTTTTACTCCATCCAGTAATCGTCGATCGATAATAATAATAATACTAATAATAATGATAATGATAATAATACTAATAATGATAATGATAATAATGATAATAATAATAATAATAATAATAATAATAATGATTCAAGTTCGGTCGAAACTTCCGGCAAAAGAGATTTTCTTATCACATTTATTTCCAGATTATTTAAATAAATAATAATTCGAGTTTTTTTTTTCTCTCTTTTTTTTCCTTTTTTGCTTCCTTATTACTTTTTACCGCATATTATTAATAATAATAATGATAATGATAATAATAATAATAATAATAATAATAATAATAATAATAATAATAATGATTATTAATATTAATATTTTAATGTAATCGCAAACGCGAGGAAAACTTTTTATTTATTTATTTAATTAATTATTTAATTAATTATCATAATCATAATCATCATTATCATTTTTATTTACGTAAATTTTTTTTTTTAACGACCTTATTATTAATAAAACCTCATATTCGAATATATTATTATTATTATTATTATTATTATTATTATTATTAATCATCTTTTACTCGTGTATTTATTTTTCTTTCTTTCTTTTTTTTTCTTTCTCACAATCGCCACCATTTTCGAGTTTTTTTTTTTTTTTTAACTGTCCGACCAAGCAATTAAATTATTATTATTATTATCGTCGTCGTCGTCAAGGATTAACAGTTAACAAAACGTGGAGGTAAAAGAGACAGAGAGAGAGAGAGATCGAAATGAAATCAAAAGAGAGAGAGAGAGAGATCGAAATGAAATCAAAAGAGAGAGAGAGAAAGAGAGTGAGGGGAGGGAAGAAGGGGGAGGAGGAGGAAGAAGAGGAGGGGGGTCACTCGATCGAAGTAAAAAAAAAAAAAAAAACCGTTGACATTTAGATGACACGAATTTTGCATAAAACCTTGAATTTCGTGCTGCCTAATGGCAGCAGGTACACACAACACACACACTAGAATCGTTAAGAATAAAAAAAAAAAAAAAAATTTTCATATAAAAAATTACGTTGAATTAATTTTTTCTTTCTTTTTCTTCCAACATAAAAAGCCGAGTTTCATCCGTTAGAATTTTATGCGTTGGTGCGACCATCTTACGTTTCCGTCGGAAATTATAATTTTTCTTTTTTTTTCTTTTTCTCTCTTTCTCTCCCTCTGCTTCCACGACGTATTTTTATTTTTATTATGTATACATATACATATATATATATTTAAATTTAATCGTGGCAGATTGGGTTTTTTTTAAATAGGAAAATAAATTAATTTTTTTTTTAAGTTTGAGTTGAGTTTTAAGGTTTCAACAACTATAAATTTAATTAATTAAAAAAAAGAAAACCTTGATTCGGATTTCATTTAGTATTACATATAACACAAATTGCTGCACCCTGTTTATTTATTTATTTATTCACTTATTTATTTATTTATTTATTTATTAATCGTGTGAAATTAATGACGTGCAATTAATAAAAAAATTTTTTTTTTTTTTTTTAAACGCACATGAAAATATTAAAACTCTCGGATTTTACTATTAATATTATTATTATTATTATTAATGAGACGCGCACGCACATTTATTATTTACATTATATTATGTATACACATTAACCATTTTAACGGCTTATCACGTGAGATCTTTAAATAAATTATTATTATTATTATCATTAATAATTTTAATGGCGACGAGTTTTTTTTCTCCTTTTACTTGGAATCGTACTCCTTCCTTTCGTTCCTACGTCTTGTTCCTACCCGAATCTTTTTGCTGGAGTATAAACATCTTCTGGATATGATCTTTTCCCTATTACTTCTTGTCCTGTCGTACTCGTTTCCGTTTTACAATTTCCGGTGCCTTCCACAACCGTTTTTTCCTGTTGCGTTCCATAGCAATACTTCGATCACTTTTTTCCAGAAAATTGTTTGAGGTTTGCTTGTACTCCTAGCAGGACCCGCGTACTCTCCTTCACATCTTTCTAATGACACGTTCTCCCTTCATCATCATCATCATCCTTTCTTCTTATTATTTATACGCACACACATTTATCGTTATTGACACGTTAAAACGAACCGAGTGAAATAATCACTTCAAAATCACAAAAAACCTTTCATTTTGAAACACGAGATTCGAAATGTATTTTTTTAAAAATTAATTATAATAATAATAATAATCATTACGTCACGTGTATAATAATATTATCATTATTATTATTACTATCATTATTTTTTTTTTTTAATAAGTAAACAACCTCAAAACTCAATCAACTTCAATATAAAAATAAAAAATAAAAAAATGTTTACATTAACGAGTCATCGAACGAGAAAAAGAACGTACAATGGCCGCCATATTGTTATATTATTATTATTATTATTATTATTATTAAATTATCATTACGACGATCGCCTTTCGATTTCTATTATTATTATTATTAATTTATTTAAATTAAATTAAGTCGGAAAGAAAGAAAGAAAGAATGAAAGAAAGAAACGTCGAGTGTTATTTGAAAAAGTGAAAATTATCACGCCCGAAAAAAAAAAAAAAAAGTTTTTTTAGCGTCTGCTATTACGTCCCGATTTAAAAAAAAAAAAAAAAAAAACAAGATGGACGTCGACACGCGTCTTATACTTCTTTTTTTTTTTTTTTTCATATATACCCACGACTTTTTTCCTTCTTTTCATCGAATTCATTCATCCAAAAAAAAAAAAAATTAATGACCTTCTTGAGGTTTATTTCGGTGATTGTTTCTTTTTTTTTTTTTGTTAATAACTGGAAGAACTTTTTTTTTTTTTAAATTTTTTTTTGGTAATTAGAATGTTGTTATTATTATTATTATCATTTAAGCTCAATCACGTTTTCAATGTTATTATCATTATTATCATTAATATTATTTTCGATTAGATAAATTGCATTTTTTTTTTTTTTTTTTTTACTTTTTGTTGAGTAACATAATTTACTTTCCATTTTGTTTTTTTTTTTTTTTTTTTTTTGTTATCTGAATTTATTGATTTTAACGACGTCACGAAAAACGTTGAAGAAAGTTTAATTATTATAATAATTCGAGAGATCGATCGCGGTTTGTTTAAACTATCGATAAAACGGAAATTAAACTCACCTAACGTGTCTCTCTCTCCATCCACATCCGTTTTTCCAAAACTTTTAGAAAATTTTCCGTGCCGGATCAACGAGTCTGTCTCTCTCTCTCTCTCTGTAATGAAATTTAATCGCATTATTAAATACATTCTAAACGGAAACGATAACCGGAAATCAATCAATCAATCAATCAATCAATCAATTAATTAATAATAATATTAATTTTTCTGCTCTCATTTTCGAATCGTTACTTAAAATTATTATTATTATTATTATTAAAATCAAACGATTCGAGTATATTTATTAATTATTCTAAAACCCTTTTCCCATTTAAAAAAAAAAAAAAAATTAAATCGAAGGCCGTTATATAATTAAAAACGAAAACAATACGAAAAAAACAAAATGGCGGACGACGCCATTTTTAAAAAAATTTTATTTCGCGTTAACCTTCATTTTTTAAATTATGCATTTTGCAATACACGCGCTCAAAATAATTTTTTTGAATCAATCCCGCGTCGCGACCTTTAATAAATAATTTTTTAAATTAATATTAATAATAATAAAATTGAATCAATAATTTATTTTTCGAGATTGATGATGATGATGATAATAATATTACAAATCAATAAATTCCGATGAATAAAAAAAAAAAAATTATTAATATTAATAATAATGATAATAATAAAAAAAAACTCATTAAACTCATTAGGCAACAACAATATTTAAATGTTTTATTACGTAACTGCGAGACTCCAGTCAGATTACCATAGAGTAATATAATAATTGACTAATAAATAAATAAATATGGCCGACGACGAAGAATTAATAATAATAATAATATATTATACACTCTATGCGGTAATAAAAATAAAAAAAAAAAAAAAAATTAATAAACGTTATAAATTTTATATAAAATGTAATTAATTAATTTTTTTTTAAATAAAATAAACCTGGAAAACTTTTGGCGCGTAAAAATTTCAAAAAATTTTTTTTGTCGTTCGGGGAAGCGGGGCGGCGGGAGAGGGAAGGACGGCGGGGAGGGAAGGGGGAGGAGAGTTCGTACGCCTTCGGGCCAAGTTTCGTTCGTTATTACGCGAACGTATTACTTAACGTTAAATAATTTTCTCATTATTATTATTATTACTACTGCCACGACTAACAATTATATATTAATAGCACGCACACGCACGCATTGATTTCGGTTAAAAACTATTAATAATGATAATGTTTCAAGTGCAAAAACCTTGGACCTAACAAGGTAGTCAAGTATCCAATACTCGGAGAGAGATTTAATTATTTTAAACCCACGATTATACCTCAAGGGAAAATTTTTTTTTTTTTTTTTTTAAATAGGCTCCCCATTTCGATTTAATTTTGATTTTAAAAAACTTTTCCTCTGGAAATAGTTCAGGTATGAGAAAAAAAAAAAAACAAAAAAACCGTTAAAAAACGTTACAATAAAAATGATGCAAAACGGATTCGAACTAGTTTTTTTTTTTTTGCTAAAGAGTTTACGTAATCGTCGACATTTTGTTACTAGAAAGAAAATTCTAGAAATTTTTTTTTTTTTGCTTTCGTCTGTCTGTCGTGTAAATAGTCGGAACCGACCGACCTCATAGTTTTTTTTCTACCATTTCCTTTCTCATTTAACTGTCATTGGCACTTGGGGTCAAGTTAGCCAAGTCCCGTGGTGGTTCCTATGTTGATTTAGGTTAAGTTCTCGGCTTATGTTAAACATCCTTACTGGAAAAGTTGGCCTGGATAAAAATTTTTCATTTTTTTCTCTAATTTACAGAAACTTCATCAGCACATGTCGTCGGAAGAACTTCAAAGAGTTTTCCACGTCGACCGCCACGATTTGGTGCCGGAATACGAAGTCGTGACCGTTCACGCGGCAACCCCATACACGTCTTACAAAGAAGACAACATAGGACCGCCAAATTTGAGCATCATTCAAAAACGTGACAATTTCACAACGAATAGTGATTCTAATAAAAACATAAGTGACATATGGTCCGGGTTGAGTGACACGTCAAGAAATACAAACACCGATCAGCAACCCCCTTACGACCCACTTGAAAAATTCAGGAGGAGACCGGACAATTTGGACGAAATAGAAGAAACCGACGGCGACGATGATGATAATAATAATAATAAACACGATAAAGTCATGAAATTATCGGCTTTCGGTAAAGATTTGGAATTGAAATTGAAAAAAATATCCGGATTGTTTGGAAAAGGGATAAGAATGTGGGAAACTCTTAGCAACGCGTCAAACGTTCACGGAATCGAATACAGAGAATTGCCCCAGGTGAGTAACAAACAACAAACAACAAACACACAAACATACATACATATACGAGTTCACGGTTACGCTTCACAAAAAAAAAAAAAAAAATCAATGCTATTGACACGTTTTATCATTATTATTCAATTATTAATAAATCCATTTGTTAAATGTTAAAAAAAAAAAAATGGCCGCAACCGTCACGGAATTTTTAATAGCATTCAGGGTTGACGTGATTATTATTATCATTATTATCATTATTATTTTTTCGATAAATAAATAAAAAAAAATTTATTTATTAATAACGTTATGTAAACTTATGTAAAAAAAAAAAAAAAAAGTTACCCGTAACAGGTTATTAGGTTAATAACAAATTCCTCCTTTATTATTTAGTATACCTAATAACAATGGTTTATTATTATTATTATTATTATTACTTTCGTTACGTCGACGCCATTTTTGTTTTTTTTTTTTTTGTTCGAAATGATTCTTTAGTTTTTTTTTTCTTTTTCTTTTTGTGGAACAAAAGACAAAACGATTGATTATTGATTATTTTAAATTAATTTCATGCGATTGAGCTTTTGTCCGAAAAAAAAACAAAATGGCGTCGTCATTTTATTATTATTAATTATTACGTGTAAATCAAGGTCAGAGTCTTTTTTGTTTATTTGATTACGTCATCGTCGTCGTCAAATTTTATACCCACCCCCCCTCTCGCGGATGGATGAAACAATAACAACAATAACAACAACAACAACGTCCACGACGAGTTTTTTCAACGGTTTTTATTTTCCTGCCACGTTTTTCTGTCGTTTAATCATCGCGAGATACATAACGATTAATTTTAATTATTTTAATATAAAAAAAAATTACGCGGCGTATTTATTTCTTTGCCGACATTTTGTTTTTTTTTTAATTAATAATCCTACGTCATTTTCCGAGTTCGGATAATTAATTAATTTAATTAACCCGTCGAGAAAAAAAAAAAATTTTCATCGTGTTTTTTTTTTTTTAATGTCGGGGAAGGAGAGAGAGAGAGAGTGAGAGAGAAAAAAAAAGAAATTTTCCGAACCTGAAAACGCGTTAAAATTTTACGCGATTACGTGATTTATCGTTCGTGACATTTAATACCGTAAAAAAAAAAAAAAAAAAAAAAAATGACAATTTTTTTTTTATTTCTACTGACACGCCTTTATTGACGTTAAATAATTTTTCATTTATTTATTTATTTATTTATCGAATTGACGAATTTACGCAATTGCAAAAAAAAAAATAATAATAATAATAATGATAATCTATTTGAGGCGTGTTACGAATTTCGAACGTGGATGCAGAAGACGTAGAAGAAGAAAAGCGGATCCCACAGAAATAATGTTCGACATGGCATCTCGTATGCGGCGGTGGCATCAAAAAACTTGACCACCTTGGCATTTTTGCACGTCGTCAAAGTTTTTTTTTTTTTTTTTTTTAAAAAAAAAAAAAAAATCATTCAACACCTGACGACGTTTCTATCTCTCTCTCTCTCTTTTTTTCCTAATTAAAGTGGCAGTAATAATAATAATAATAATAATAATTTTTTATTTTATTGTGAGAACGAAACCTGAAATGGTAAAATGTATAAAAAAAACTTATGAAAATGTTTTTCGCATGTCTCCCCAACCATCTCTCCGCGAAGTTATTATCATTATTATTATTATTATTTCGTTTAACAAAATTTTCTCACGTGTGTACACGTGTTCGAGTGAGAATTTTCGTTTTCCTCATACTACTTATTATGTTTAAACTAATTTGTGACGACAGATACTCCTGACACGTTTTTAAAAGATTTTAATGCGGTCGCGAAACGCCGGAACCGGAAATTATCATTTCGTTAACGTTTTCCTTTTTTTTTCTTTATTCAGAAAACCGCGCTTAAATTTTAACGTTCCGGTTGTTGTTTGTTGTTAAATCAATAACAAACAAACAAATAACAAACAAAAAAAAGTATCGTGAGCCCCTTTTTAATAACTAATAAATCAAAAAATCCACGTTTAAAAATATCCATCAGTATCTTAAAAAAACGGTTTTTTCTTACTCGATGCCGCCATTTTGTTTTTTCCACCTTCTTCCCCCTCACCCCTTCTCTTCCCGAATGATTTATTACCGTTTTATTATTATTATTATTATCAACTTAATAAAATCGTAAAAATTTGTATATATATATATCGATAATAATAATTCAATAAATAAATAAATTCGCGATTGGAATTGAGTGATAAGAAACTTGGTGATTAGTTATCGGCTTATTCAATCACGACCGATCGATATATCGATACATCGATATATTTTTTTCAAATGGCGGTAAAATTTAAATTATTACCATTCGCGGAAAATCTTTCTTTCCGATTCTATTCATTTCGATTCGATTCGTTACTCCGCGAAAAATTTTCCGTTTGTCGTTATCGTTATCGTTATTGTTGTGGTTGTTGTTGTTGTTGTCGTCGTCGTCGGAGCGTTTAGTGATAAATAAATAAATAAATAAATAAATAAAAATTACGAAATTACGAACAATAATTAATCGAGTTTCCTTTTTCACGCGTGAATGAAAAATTAAGTAGGGTACTCCCACGATTTGGAAATTGTCCGAGTACTGCTACTACTACTACCAACCACGATCGATACTTTGACCGAAACTGGAAACCCATTTCTTATTATTATTATTATTAATATTATCAATATAAAAAATAACATTGTTGTTATGATAAATGTAAAAAATTCGAATCATTAATAATAGTTTTTGAATAATAATGATAATAATAACAGGCTAAAAGTTTTTTAATGTTTCCCGGTAAGGGAGTCACGGAGGGCAGCCATTTTTTTTTTTTTTTTTTTTTTTTGGAAAATGACGTAAACTTTTACGTTAATCCAACCTATCACCAAATTACTTTGTCCTCATCATCATCATCATCATCATCATCATTATTAATATTATTATTATTTTTTATAAATTCGTCATCATTTAAAAAAAAATTTAAAATTTTACGTAAATCGTTATTGATTCGTCATCACCAACGACATTTCCCTAATTCCACGACTTTTTTTTTTTTTAAATTAAACTTTCCCTTATACGCAAAAAATAACGACGTCGTTAATTATTCTCTTTTTTTAAATTTTTTACACGTTAAATAATAAAAATAAATTATTATTTAAAAATTCTTTTGCCACTTTTTTTTTTGTCGTGAGAACAAAAACGAAAACAAATTTTTTAGGCGAACGCCTACAATAAAATAATTAATTAATCGTTTAAAAAAAAAAATAGTCGTGGAATTAATAATTTGTCCTTTATCCCCCCCCATTAGTTAGTTTCGTACCTGAAATAATTATTATTATAAAAAAATTTCCTTAAGGTTTTCACGACCTGACATTGCACAGTAGTCAATCACGGACGTTATTTAAACTTTTAATTTTTAGCCTTTCACATTATTATTATTATTATTATTATTATTTTAATGTCGCCATTTTGTTTTTTAACCTCTCCTTCCCCTCCCCCATCTCCTCCCCTAGTCAAGGAATCAAACGAAATTCCAGTCATTATCATCTATTAGGTCCTTAATTCGAATAACGAACGAGATAATTATCTATCCGTGGGTCTACCTATGCGTGCGTGTGCACGCGTGCGCGCACTTACGCACACGCACTCACGCCCATTAAATCGCGGTTCGGAAGGTAAATTTGTTCGTAAAATAATTTTTTTTTTTTTTTCACTCACCTTAAACATATACAGGTATTTTGTTTTTCCATAACTTTTACGAAATGATAAATATCTCGAATTATTATCAAAATCAGGATTTGCAGGTCAGGTTCAGATCGAGAACGAAGGTTACTTGTTCCTCGACTCGTTTTCCTTCTTCCCGTATATAAATATATATTCCTGCCCTCCGTTGATTCCAGGGACGCGAGTAGGCGATTAACAAACAAAAAACTTTTCCAGTCGGTTTGGGCTACCGAAACAAAAAAGTAATGCCTGGAAATAAAAAAGAAAGACATTCTGTTAATTTTTTTTTTTTTTCCTTCTTCCCAACAGGAAAAAGAAGAAATCGGTGAATTGTATCAGGATGAAAAAAATCAAGCGGCTTTACTCGTTCATACCGATCAAGATGGCGGACTCCTCGTCGTAAGTATTATTTGTTCCAGCCTTGATTTTTTTTTTTTTTTTTTTTTATGTCTATCGATATGAGTGCACGTCTATCGCTTTGGGGTCAAGATTGACTATCCCTTTTTTTTTTCTTCCCCTCCTCCTTTGGGGACCCTATGCAAGCAAGCAAGCAAGTATCCATCATCATAATAACAACAACACTTCGGGTCGGGATTCCTTCTGACAAGACCGCCAACCTTGAAAAAAAAAAAAAATTTTTTTTTTATTGAAACGGGATAAAAAATAGTTTAAGGTGATCAAGATTTTCTCCCGGTTTATATTTTCTCCTTTTTTGCAAATCCCGGTTCCGTTTGATGATGAGTCTAAAAACAGGTTAGAGAGAGAGAGAGAGAGAGAGAGAGAGGTTACCAATATTAAAAAAAAAAAAAAAAACCTTTTCAAGGATTTTTAACGCGACTTTTTTTTTTTTTTTTTTTTTTTTCAAACTAGACTCTCATCGTTTTCTTGCCAACTTTATTAATGTTTCCAGTTTGACGTATGCCAATAATTTTATTTTAATAATAAATTTGTCAACTCTATTAATTATTATTATTATTATTATTATTATTATTATTATTATTATTATTAACAGGAAGGTACGATCGGACACGATTTAGTCGTGAAACCCGTACCCTCATCCGTTCGTCAATTTGTTTCCCCCAACGATGACGAAATGTTTTTGGATGCGGAAAACGAAGATTTTGAAAATGACGTGGGAGTAGACGGTGGGAAAAAAATTAAAGATTCGGAAAAGAGGAGACGGAAACGAAGGAGGAGGAGACGCGGAGTAAACGATGAAAAATATCATCAACACATCGTTTACAAAAGATCGAAAACAACCGAAGAGGACGAATACAGCGATTATGGTAAATTTCCCAGTCCCCATCACCCCCGTTCCCCCCATTTTTTCCCCCAAAGAAAAACGAAAAAAAAAACAACTTTTCCCCCCGTTTCAGCTTTCATGGAGCCGGATAGTTTGGCAACGAAATCGAGAAAGAAACGTGGCATACGTGGTAAAAGAGAAGCACCCTACGTTATTTTTCCAGAAATTCTAGTCATTGTGGATTACGATGGATATCGGTGAGTACGACAAAACTTCCCCCTCCCCCCTCCTTTTCGATATTTTATATTCCGCCATCTTTTTTTTTCTTCTGTTTTTCGAAAAAAAGGTTGCACGGAGGTGACAACGTTCAAATAAAACGATATTTCGTATCATTTTGGAACGGAGTCGATCTTAGGTATAAACTTCTCAAAGGTCCAAAAATAAGGATAAGCATTGCTGGAATCATCATTTCCAGAGTAAGTTTTCTTTTTCTTTTTTTTCTGGAACCCTATCCCGTTCCTTTATAAATTTTCTTTAAAAAAAACTTATTTCCTGTTTTTGGGGGAAAAAAAAAAGGGACGCGACGCGACACCATATTTAGAAAGAAACAGAGTCGGAAGAGACGCCATTGATTCGGCAGCCGCACTCACAGACATGGGAAAATATTTATTCAGGGAGCGAAGACTGCCCGTTTACGACATTGCAGTCGCCATAACAAAGTAAGTCTAAACCTAATCGATAGATCGATCGATATATCGATATATCGATGATACAGCAGTAGAAATTGCGATTTGAAAATTTTTTTAATACTCAAAGACAAAATGTCAATTCTTCTACATTACGGATAAGAGTGCAGCATAGTAAATAAAAAAAAAATTTTATTACAGCTAATTTAAACCGATCGCGCGCGCCATTTGCATTTAAATGCATACATACATACATAAATGATGATGATGATAATGATAATTAATTATGTACGGTAATTTATCCGTTTAATTAAACGCAAATCGAACACGTAACGATTTTTTTTTCTTTTTTTTACCATCACTTTTTTGCGTTTGTTAATTTTTTTATACGAATTTGACAGTTTTAAATGGGACGATAATGATGGCGACGATGACGACGACGACGACGTCGACGTCGACGACGTTGACAGTCATTTTTTATGCAAAAGTTACGAGGTTACAATTATAGATATCATAGAGTAATTAACGTTACGTAATTACAAGAAGAAAAAAAAAAACGCGACGCGTACATTTAACGAGAACACGATACGAATTTTTTTTTTTTTCTCTATGGAAATCACTTTCGTCTCGTTTTATTCGTCCTGTTGCGTTCACACGTTCCGTTCCTTATTATTATTATTATTATTATTGTTTTTTTAAATTTTTTTATTATTCCGTTCGATTTAGGTACGACATGTGTAGAAGAAGAAAAGGTGGAAGGTGCACAAAGGGAACCGCTGGTACGTCGTATAAAAACGTCTTCTTGTTAAAAACGGATGTCGGATTATTATTATTATTATTACCATTATTATTTTAAGGGGATTCGAACCTAACCATAATCTATTAACTTTTTTAATTAAATAATAATAATAATAATTATTATTATTATTTATGTACATAGTGCGATGGCGATTTTTTTTTTTTTTAGGTGATTTGGTTTTTTTTTTTTTTGGAATATTAAACAAAATTTAAGGTATGCGGTTAACAATCGAAAGCGAGATGATTGAGTTTAACCCCCTCCCTTCCTTCCTTCCTCCCTCCCTTCCCCGATACCTTAACTTCCCCTTTTACCCCTATCCGGTTATATCGTTTTGTTTTTGGAGTTTGTTGACGACGACGGTAGCGACGGCGAAGAATATTTTGTCGAAGAATGGATGGAAAAAAATCGAAATTTGTTTTGTTTTCGTTTGTTCGTTTGTTTGTTTGTTTGTTTTGTTTCAAGTCAACACTAATGAGTATCTCATTATTACAGATTAGATATGTGTAGAAGACAATTCGCAAATGACGCGTGCAACCGAGGCACAGCAGGTGAGTTTTCCTTTAAACGGGTACGAAAAACACCCGCGCGCGCACACACACACAAACACACGCTCGCCGATCTTTCTAGAACTTCTTTCGCTGTTCTCTGCACACGTCGTTTGCTTATACGTGTACATCGACGCACCCATTTATTGCCACGTTAATTTTTCTTATATATCCACAAATATGGGTTTTCATCTTGTTTTTCTTCTTCTTTTTTTTTCTTTTCTTTTCTTTTCTTTCTCTTTTGTCATCACGCACCGATGCAAAATTTTTTTTCTATTACCACGTCACCCATTTTACCGTCACGCTTTGCCACGCAAAACATGTATATGTTTTTTTTTTTTGCATCTTCGAAACTTTTTTTCACAAAAGTATAATTTTCACCGCGTTTCCGGTTGTGTTTTTTTTTTTCCAATGTCGTTCCCACATTATAAATCGATTCGGTTTATTATTCATGAAGACTCCGAAATCGCCTTTGATTAATTTTAAAATAAACGTGTCAGAAGATAATGAATCACGGTACGAAAATCTACATTTTATGTTTATTATTATTATTATTATTACTATTTTTTTTTTTTTTTACGATAATTTATAGTAATATGTAAAAAAAAAAAAAATTATGTCGGGGACAAACGTTATTTTTTATCGACAATAGTTGAAAGGTCACAAAAAAAAAAATGTATTTTTTTTTTCTCTCTCTCTCTCTCTTTTAAATTATTCATATGCGCGCTCGTTGATAAAAAAAAAAAAAAAAAAAAAAAAAAATTAAGTAACGTTAATGACACGTTTTTTTTTTCTTTTTTTTAAATGGCGATCGTATCGGAAATCTATAATAATAATAATAATAATAAATAACGGCATTAAACTCTTTCTTCTTCTTCTTTTTTTTTTTTTTAAGAAAACGAATTTAAATTTTTAACGGAAATTCTTCTCTCTCTCTCTCTCTCTTTCTCTTTCTCCATGGTTTTTCTTTGATTTCAAAGAATTCATCAACCTCCTTCGTCTACGATGATTTTTTTTTCTCTTCCCATCATCTTTCCTTTTTTTCTTTCTTTTTCCTTTCTTTCGACATTCTTTTACTTAGTTCCGTCACTTTTTCTGTTTTTTTTGTTGGTTTTAGCCGCCATATTGTCCGAGCACATATATTCTTGTAACTTTTCTCTCGCTTTTTGTATGATAAGTCTCGTTGTTTCAATGGTAAGTTTTCCAAAAATTATTTCGCATGCTTTTTTCAATGTCGCTTTGCCTTAAGACTAATTTTTTTTTATTAACGACTAAATTTTTATTCGGTTACCGGTTAACTCATTATTATTATTATTATTATTAATCGCACGATTTTCATTTTCCTTTTTATTTGTTTGCTTTTGCTCTCATCATCGTCAATACTATCTATAATCGTTTATTATATATTTTCAAATTTCCCCCCCCCTCCCCTCGCCTTCCAAAAATTTTTTTTCTTTTTTTTTTTTATTACCGACCGACCGACCGGCGAATCGTTAATAATTTATTATTATTATTAATGCGTTTAATTTAAATTTTTTTTTTTTTTAACCGGAGTAATAAAAAAAATTTTCCGAGAGAAAAAAATAAAAATAAATAAAAAATAAAAAAACACGTTTTTAACTCGTAATGGACGGTAATATAATAATAATAATAATAATAATAACGATTCGCTACGCCGCCATTTTGTTGTTAATTGTCACTCTTGTTTTAATATAGTAATTTTATACGCACTAACTAACGCACGCATTATTCCTTTATGTACGCGTTTTGAGTTTTTTTTTTTTTTTTTTTTTTTTTTTTTTACGGGACGATTAATCAAATTATTTTTATTACTGTGACTTTTTTTAAAGAAAAAGTTGCTTGGAAACAAGTCGACGTCGTCGACGACGACGACAACGATAGCAACCCCGGTAAAAAATGCAACAAGGGAAAACACAATAACGTTTTCCGTTTCCGTTTCCGTTTATGATTAAAAAAAAAAAAACCATCGCGATGGCTTTTCGTCCGTCGAAAATTTTCGTTAACTTAATTTTAAAAAAATAATAATAATAATGGTAACTCAGCGTTTTTCTTTTTTTATTGCACAAGTTTTATCATTATTATTATTATTATTATTATTATTATTATTATTACGTTCATCATCGTGTAAACAGTAAGAAAAAAAAAAAAAAAAAAAATTAATCGGCTTAATTTTTACATATTTTTTTTTCTTCTTCTTCTTCTTCTTCTTCTCCTCGTATTAATAAGCTTACGAATCGTTGCCATTTTTAATTTTTCCGTGATCTTATAATTAATTAACGTAAAAAATAAATAAATAAATAACTCGTGTAATAAGTTATTACGCTTGTTCTTATTTTCCCCCTCCCCTTCCCTCCCCTACCCCCTCCCTCCACGAAAAAATAAAATGAAAAATGAATAATGAACGGCGTATTTGTACAAAACACAAAATGGCGGCGTTCGAAATCGAACTTAATAGTTTTTTTTTTTTTTTGTAATATTAATTAAAAGCTAGTCTCTTTCAATGTTACGTTTAAATATCGAAATTGTTTAATCATTCCTGTGTGTTAATACGGTCAGGGTCGTAATAAGAATTTAAAAAAAAGAAAAAAAAAAGAAAAGAAAATGGAAGGTAGGAAAAGAATATATTAAAATGAATTAAAAAAAAAGGGGGGGGGGGTGTAAATAAATCAAAATGATGGATTGATCGTGTCATTAGGTTTCGCCTACGTCGGTGGTGCTTGCGTCGTCAACAAAAGGTTAGAAAAAGTCAACAGCGTCGCCATCATAGAAGACACGGGGGGATTTTCGGGTATAATCGTAGCCGCACACGAAGTCGGTCACTTGTAAGTAATCGATCGCGAAACGAATAAAATCGAATAAATAAATCGATCGATCGATATCGATTAAAAATTAAAAAAATAAAAAATTTTTAAAGGTTGGGCGCCGTACACGACGGTTCCCCACCACCAAGTTACCTCGGAGGTCCCGGAGCTGAAAAATGCCGGTGGGAAGATGGTTTCATAATGAGCGATCTTCGTCACACGGAAAAAGGATTCAAGTGGTCCAGTTGCAGCGTTGCCAGTTTTCATCATTTCCTAAAGTAAATAAATAAAAAAATTATTATTAAAACAAATGAATACATTCATTAATAATAATAATAATAATTTTCCAGCGGTGACACGGCAACTTGCCTATTTAATTCTCCTCACGAAGACGAAAGCCTTCCGAGAGTTCTTCCTGGAAAACTTTTATCTTTGGACGCGCAATGTCGAAAAGACAGAGGAACGAGTGCTTGTTTCGTGAGTATCTTCCATTTGACCCCCCCCCCTTCCCGCCTTTTTTCTCCTCCCTTTTCTCACGCCCTCTCATTTCTTCATTTTTTTGTAAATTACAGAAAGACGACAGAGTTTGTTCTCAACTCTTTTGCTTCGATTCCGGTTCGGGTTACTGCGTGGCATACAGACCAGCAGCGGAAGGTTCTCCGTGCGGCGACGGACAAGTAGATTGATTGATACATTCTTCGTGCTCCCATCAAGGTTTCCACGTTAACGAATTAATCCCTTTTTTGATTTTTATTCCAGTATTGCATAAACGGAAGATGCGTGGCCGAACACGAAAACATAATACCTGACTATAGTCAAAACCCTCAGTATTACAGAAGAGACGATAGTGAAAATTTTGCAACTCAACCAAGGCCGATAGTAGCCTACCCAAACTCATCAACTCAGAGGTAAGTTTAGGTTCTTCTTCTTCTTCTTCGAATACGTCTCCCGTTATGTTAAAATTTAAAATCTGCAACAAAAAAAAAAAACATTGAACGTCCATATTACGAATCCGAGTTCGATTCAAATGACAATGATAATAATATTAATGATAATAATAGTAATTATTTATTTTTTTTTTTAACAGGATTTTTCCAAACAACTACAGCACACAAAAAAAACCACCAATCAGCTCACCACCAAATCCATATTATACCTCTACCTATCGACCCCCTTCTCCACCCAAACCCAAACCCAATCCTTACTACACTCCGACGTATTCTTCCACGCCACCCAAATCCAAACCCAATCCTTACTACACTCCGACGTATTCTTCTACGCCACCCAAATCCAAACCTAATAGTAATCCCTATTACAGTTCGACATATTCTTCGACACCCAAAAACAAACCCAATTCTTATTACACTCCGACGACATATTCGAAACCGAAACCCAATCCCTACAGTAGCACCCCGAAAACAACCGCGAACGCGAGAGATATATTTAACGATTTTTTCCGTACATCTTCCCCTTATTATTCACCGCCACAGTATCAAAAAAACACTACACCCAAATACAACAACTACAACAACAACAACAACTACAACAATAACAACAATTATTACTACGCAAACAAACAAACGACAAAAAATCCATTCGACGCACCTTTTTTCAATAGGAAAACAACAACCAAATCCCCGTACGATTTTAGCGATTTCGATTCGCGAAAACGTGTTAAAAATACTTATGTCAGTAATAATAATAATAACAACAACAACAACTACTACAACAATTACAACAACTACAATAATAATAATAATAATAATAATAATAATAATTACAATAATTACAATAATTACAATTCGAATAATTTCGGACAATTCGGTTCAGTTTATTACGGGAAATAATTTTTTTTTTTTTGCTGTCGTTCGTCTCCCCATTCCTACGCTTGACTTTTCTAGTCATCTTTTTTTTTTTTTTTTTTTTGACGTCACAAACACGAACAGTAAAAAATTTCGAAATACGGATTCGATTATTGTGAAACAAGACGAATCGCGACGACTGACTTTTCTTTTTTTTTTTTTTTTTTTTTTTTTTTCATACCTGAAATGAACTCTGCCATACATGCATTAAATATTTACGATTTTGTAAAAAAAAAAAAAAATTTTTTTTTACAATTTATGAATTTCAATAATTTTTATAAAAAAAAAATTTAAATCCGACACCACGTTATCCTCGAATTCGTTACGTTGCTCAACAACTCGACCGCCATATTTGAATTTTTTTTTTTTTTTTTTTCACGAGGCCGATCAAATATTATTTTGACATAATTTCCTTTTTTTTTTTTTTTTCTTTCTTCTCATTCGACAAACACACACGACGACTTATTATTTTTCCATCCGTTGGGTTTCGACCGGAAATGACGAATTTTCCCATCACCGTTTCCATTTTCTTTTTCTTACAATTTTTGCCTCCACGCTCACATCCCCTCCTTGGGAAACCGATAAATAAAAATCTATATCTTATAATTAAAAAAACAAAAAAAAAATATTTAAAATTAAAAAAATTATATAAAAAAAAATTTATATATATATATAAAACCGGAAACTGTTGAGAGAATAATTTTTTTTCGGTAAGAAAGATTTCAGAAAACAAATTTAATTCTTTTGTGGCTAATCGAAGATATTCGATTATTATTTTAACAAAAAAAAAAAAAAATCGAAACTTTCTTCTTCGATTTTTCAATCTGTCCGCCGCCAAATTTTTCTAATTTTTCTCATTCACACGACAAAAAATTAAAAAAAAAAAAAAATCGCTTTTTAAAATGCCTGCGAACGAAATTAAAAAAAAAAAAAATTTTTTTTTGAAAAGTGAAAAAAAAAATAAATTTCTGAACGTACCACCACGTAATACGTCATCATCCTCATCGTTTTCCTTATTGTCTCATCATCACTCACAACATCATTATTATTATTATTATTATGATTATTTAATATTTTTATTTTTCAGAATTTTTCTTCATATATCATCTGTCTCTCTCTCTGTTTCGTTTTTTCTCCTTTTCTTTTTCTTTTTGGTTGTTTTTTTTTTATTATTTTCTTTTCTTCCAAATCTGTCTTTTCTTAAGAGCGTTCGCACGATGAATTGAAAAATATAAAAAACCGTTACGAACGTAAACGGATCGGCAAAAGGCGTTTTTAAATTTCCGCGCCTTTTTTTTTTACCGCGTCACTCGCGGATTTTCACGTGCGAACGTTTTTTTGACGTTATGACGTCATCGCCTCGTAACAATAATATATGCGTTGTATCATTCGACGAATTTAATTTTCTTTTTGCTTGCTTGGATCTGAAACAAAACAAAAAAAAAAGTTAATAATTATTATTATTATTCTTCTCGATTCTGTCTTTTCTTTCTTTCCAAAAAAAAAAAAAAAAAAATGGAGTAAAATGGAGTAAAAAGTGCCTGGAAGCACTCTCTGGAAAAATAATACAAAAAAAAAAAAAAAAACAATTATTTTTTTAACGGTCATTTTTTCATTACAGAATCATCACACACACACACACACATATATACACACACGATCAGACATAATAAATAAAGCTTCTGCTATTTTATTCATAATAATAATAATAATAATAATAATAATAATAATAATAATTAATTCAAGTGTTCCTAAATCGATATTAATTAATTTTTTTTTTTTTTTTTTTTTTTATTTACAGCAAACGACGTCGAGATTGATTCACGAAGAACTTAAAAAAAAAAAGAAGAAATAATTTAATTTTTTTTTTTTTTTAATTTAATTGAATCGAATTAATGAAAAACGTCGGCTTCGTTTGCCATTTTCTTTTTAAAAAAATATTCCCGCGCTTTTTCCTCCCCCTTTTCCCCCTTCCCCTTTCCCCTCCCCCATCCATTTTCCCCCTACTAAATAATTTCTCGTTACAATTATTTTTTAAAAACAAAATCCAATCGTTACCTCGTAACTACAAACACGACGACAATAATATTATTATTAATAATAATAATAATTAAATTAATTAAATTAAATATTAAAAAAAAAGCAATAATGACAATTGGAAGAGGGTGTGCAGTTCGTGGCAGTAGATTTGTGATTTTTTTTTTTTTTTTTTTTTTTTCAAAGTGCCAAACTCTCTTCGAACGTTCATTTTTTTTTTTAGCAATTTTTTTATCACTTAAAAAGTGAAATAATGATGATGATAGTAATAATAATAATAATAATAACAATTATATATATACAACGCGTAATATTTATCGAATGACCGAAAGTAACAAAAAGTTGTTATTATTATTATTTTTAATTTTTTTGTTATTCTTGTTTGTTCGTTGTCGTTTGCAGAATCCTTTCCTTTCCTTTCTTTCCTTTTCTTCCTTTTCATTCCTTTCCTTTCCTTTCCTTTTCTTTCCTCTTCCATGTTTCCCCTCCGAGTGCGACATTTTTCCTCCACTTGATAATAATGATAATTTTTTAAATATATATATATTTTTTTTCCTCCCCTTATCGTTATCATTGTATTTACGTATGAAATATATATATATATATATTTAAACACGCGCGCACGCGCGCGCACACACACACACACACGAAAAAACAATTATTTAAACGCTTCGAAACGCAATTTAAATATTTAAAATATTTTTCCTTTTGTTTAAATATATATATATATATATATATATATATACATTATTGTTTTTTTTTTCTTCTTACTAGTTTATTACAATGTGTGTGGTGTAGTTAAACAAAAAATATAAATAAATAAACTATTTACAAAAAATAAATAAATAAATAAATAAAATTATTTTTCTACAGAAAAAAAATAATAGTAAAAAAAAAATATAATAATAATAATAATGATAAAAAAAAATGAAAAAAAAAAGAAAAAAAAAAAAAAGAAAACTAGAGAAGAAAATACTGTTAATTAAATTTATGTGTATTTTTTTTTTGTTTAAACGATGTAAGGTTTAATATATTTGTACATATTAATAATAATAATAATAATAATGATAATTTTTAAAAAAATTTGTTTTTCTTTTCTTTTTCGTTGTTGTCAAAACAAAAATTAATTATCATTTTTTTTTTTGTTTAAAAAAAAAAATAAATAAATAAATAAATAAAATAAAATGATTTTTTTTTTTAAATGAGAATTTAATGACCGCGTAATAATTTATTAATTTTATCGATAGATGTCATTAGTTTCGCGCGGAAAACAATAACAACCGTCGCGTTTAAATTATAATGCGATTTAAAATTTCAAGATGGCCGCCGTCGGTCGAATAAAACGGTTGACGACACCACGACACTACCATTACCATTATTATTACCACCACCGCCACTACCACCACCACCACCACACCATTGATGGTGTTCGATTGAAAGAAATGGAAAAAAAAAAAAAAAAACAAAAAAGAAAAAAAAAAAAAAAATTTTGAAATAAAATGCTTGCGTTGCCATTATAAAACGACTGTGAAATGTGATATTTTGTCTGGCGCGACCTTGAAAAAAAAAAAAAAAAATCATACCTAAATAATCAACACCGTCAGCACCTCGGGTCTTAATAAAAACTTCCTTTCCATCATTTTCTTTTCTTTTTTTTTTTTTTTTTTGTTCATAGTCGGGTTTAAAGTTCTTCGCGAACGCCTTTTTCCGTTCGTTCGTTCGTTCGTTTGCTCGTTTGACTTTGCAATTTTTCATGCCATTGGCTTTTTATTAACAACAACCACGCGTTTGTATGTTTCAAAGGGTGTTTAAACTTGAAATAAGCCTGAGCAAGTCGTTCTATAGAACGATGACATGTCCTCTGTTTGTTCGTCGTTTGTCTTCTTTATTGTTTAGCATTCGTTTGCTCTTTCCTTTCTATTCTTTTCTTTCTTTCTGTTTATTTTAAACAAACAAACATCCTTTCTCAACGTGATTTCTTTCTTCACTCTAAAAAAAAAAAAAAAAAAGTAAAATTTTTTTGTTTGTTTTAATGATATTTTTCTTCGTTATTACATGTTTTGCACTATGCAAATGGCCTAAAATTACATATAAACATAACAAATGTCGAAGTGCATCATGACAAAAAAATAATTAGTATAAGAAGAAAAAGAGGAAAAAAAAAAAAAAAAAGAAGAAAAAAAATTAGCAATTAAGAGATAATGATAGAACGAAGAGGTCTACTAATCTTAAAAAAAAATTGCAGTTCAGTTGCATATATGAAAACACACAAATGAGAGAGAGAGAGAGAGAGAGAGGGGGGGGGAAAGAGAAAAAAAAGAGAGAAAAAGATAGTCAAGGACGCAAAAAGGCAATAAAAATAAATAAATAAAAACAAAAGTTAATAATGCACCACACGTATTAATAACTTTTTAGCTGCCAATAGTAACCAACCAATATTCTTATCATTCTACGACAGAGAGATAAGGATTTAATGTAGTTTACACCGAACTCACCAAGTCAGATTTTCTTAAAAAATTGTATTGATTGTATTCATCGATCGATCATCTTCCTTGTCAATAAAATCAATAAATTAATTCATTTGAAAGAACAAAACCGACTCCATTTGCATGCAATCATCATCGTATGTATTCCCCACTTTCAAATCAATCCATCCAAATCCAACATATCCTTCAACGTTATTGTTCCCCTCAAAAGGTAAACCTAGAAAAGAAAAGGAATCAATTAAGAAGTTCTTTCTCAACACATTATAAAACATATGCATGAATACTTACATGCAACATATAGTATGTATAATAGTGTAAAGTATATTGAAATAAACCTTAATGTACCTTATTATAAATCCATATAAAATGTTTTCGAGTAAAATTATTAAAAAGGTATTTAGCCTAAACATAGTTGTTGTTGTTGTTGTTGATCTTGTTATAATTATTCTTCCTGTTTATTATTTGCTTTTTGCTGCATTCTCTCTCTCATGTCAATGCCAAGTAAATATATATATATATATATATATAAACTGAAAGAAAGAACAAAAAAAAAAAGGTATTTTAGTTAAAAATTTAATCGTTGATTGTCAACATTTGATTAATAAATACCATAACAATATTTCAAGATGTAAAACTCACGCAAAAAATGAAATAATTACATTATGACATTTTCATTTTTTACCCAGTACACAGGTTACTTCATTACCACAAGACACAATTTTTTCTTTTTTAACAAATAAATACATAAATATAATAGTTTTACCATCGATATTATTAATTTCGCATTAATAAATATTAATTATAAACTAAAAACGAATCACATTTCAATCATTTACACACGCTACAGCCAAAAAACCGAAAAAAAAGTATGCGAAATCTCAATCGCGAGATTATACGAGAAAAAGCGTTTTTTCCATTTTTTTCTAGAAATTATAAAACCGAAAACCGCCTTGCGTCGATCGACCAATCAGATCGCTTGAAAATCGACGCCATCTTTATATAAAAACGTATGACTATTTTCAATTACGTCACGACTAGTGCGCTCAACATTGATAAAGCTATACAGAGTGAGAGAGAGAGAGAGAGAGAGAGAAAAAATTAAAAAAGTTCGTTAAAATTTTTTTTTTTTTTTTTTTTTAGTTTCAAGCGTCGTTTATAACGCGGTGTAAACGCAGCTTTACACACAAAAAAATTGTTGAAAAAGGTCTTTTTCAAACAAGTTCTCTTTTGCTTTCGTCCAGTCTCAGCTTTCTTATCGCGTCGGTAAAATTAAACAATTTTTTTTTTTTTTTCGGTTTTAATCTGATGAAAGAGAGAGAGAGAGAGAGAGAAAGAGAGAAAAAAAAAAATTTCATTTATTATAACAATCGGTAGACTCGCGCGCGCGTCTGTGTGTGTGTGTGTTAATGCAATGGCTGACAAATAATTACAAATATATATGAAAAAGTGCGGAATTTTCTTTTAATAAAATAAAAATGAATAAATATAATAAATAAATAAATAAATAAATAAACAGGTACGTTAAAACTATTATTATTAATAAAAAAGAAATGTGAGAAATATGTGTGTGTAAGTGTTTATACGCTGTTGACCGTTTCAAAATGGCTGCCGTGTATTAAATAAAAAAAATTCTTATTCATTCCTACCCATATTTTTAAAAATCGTTTCGATTCGATTATTTAATAATCGAAATTATTATTATTATTATTATTATTATTATTATTACGGTGCTGATTAAGTATTTATTAATATTTTTAAAAAAAATAACAAAAGCTACAAAAATATTAATTTTTTTTTTTCCCTTACTTTCTTCGACGACGACTTAAAAAAAAAAAAAAAAATTTGTTAAAATAAAAATTTCCTAGAACAGCAAATCGTTTCGAATCATTATCGCTGACGTGTTAGGAAAAAGTATAAAAAAAAAAAAAAAAAAGTTGAAATCAGGCATGACATCGAATGTGGAAAAAAAAAATACTTATTAAACGCACCTGAATAATAATATAGTAGGAAACGTGCGGTAGTAGAGTGAACAAGAATAATAATAATAATAAGAACCTTAAATTAAGGTTAATTTTTTTTTTTAAATTTTAAATCCGTATATATATATTATTATTATTATTTTTTTTTTTTTTTTAACGGTTTTGTGTTGTGTTATGTCTCGTGAATTTTTTCAATTTTTTTTTAATTTAAAATTTGTGTTAATTTTCATATAAGTAATTTTTCATAAGGTAAGCATAAAACACCCCGCCGGATTTCACACTTTCGATTTCCCCCTCCCCCCTCTCCCCGATTTCAAAATGCGTCGTCGTGATTTTCTTTTTTTTTTTTTTAAATTATAAAAACCCACGAGATAAAAATAGGTCAAAGGTTATGTTTCTTACGAAGAACTCAACATAAATAACGCGAGAAAAGTTTAAAAAAATCGGATTCGATTCGATTCACTATAACAAAAATTATTTTATTATAATCATCATCATCATCATCATCATCATCATCATTATCACAATAGAAATAATAATAATAATAATAATTTTTTCCTCTACTTGTAAATATGTGCATATGTATATATAAAAGTTACCGCGATTACATTTTTTTTTTTTTTTTTTTTTTTTTCGGTTACAGATGGAAAGATAAAAAAAAAGAGAAAACGACGAGGAAGAGTAGGAAGAGAGAGAAAAAAAAAAAAAACTTTCCGAAATCAATAGTAATAGTAATAATAATAATAATAATAGTTATAAGAAATATCAAATGAAAATCGCCGCCGCCGCCGCCATGACAGATAGAATACAACAGATTTTGATTAGAAATCAAAGAGATGATTTCGTACTCACAAACGAAGCTCAACAATTTCTCAACAAGAGAGGAATCATTATTAGAATGAGAGGACTCCCCTACGAATGCTCATCCAAACAAGTGGTAAGTCGTATTAAATCGATACATCGATCGATATATCGATTCATCGATATATCGAAACGATACCCGTCGTCAGGGTGCGAAGAAGTAAAATTGCTGCGTCGGTTCGGTTCGTTCGAGGGTAAAAAACGGTCATCGTTTAAAAAAATAGAAACATCGTGTCAGTCAATCAATCAGTCAATCAATCAATCGATCGATCGATCGATCCATCGATCGATACGTACATTTACTTATTATGTAATTATCGATCGCCGGTCAGCAGAAAGTGTGTTGCGATTTTTCCGAGGGGGCGGAGTGCGGGCGGGGAAATCGAAAAATTTTGTTTTCCGCGAGTATCGAATTCTACCTGTATTGCACATTTTCGGGGAGACACGGGGGAAAAATTATGGGAACCCGAGAGAGGGGAGGGGGAAGGAAAATTTCGTCGTTAATAATTAGCGCCCTTGACCAAAATCTCTCTCTCTCTCTCTCACTCTCGAAGCAGATAAGCCTTATCATCTTAAGTTGAGATTTTTTACAGCGCGTTCGTTCGTTCGTTTGTTATTCGCATCGTAAAAAAATCCCGCCGCGTTATGTTTAACTCATTCTCTCGTTAATTTTCATATTTTTCCCCACCGATGAGATTTATCGATTATTAATTGATTTTTTTTTTTTTTTGAAAACAACAAATACGAAAAAAATTGGAAAGATTGTTTTCGCGAAGGTAAACAAACAAACAAACAAACAAACAACAACAACAATCGATTAACGAACGACAGCAACAAAATTTATTCATCGAATGGTAATTTAAAAAAAAAATCAAATCCTGTCGGTTGGTCGATTTCAGGTTTTAACGGTTTTTTTTTATCGAAATCAAATTTAAATTTCGTCCTTCTATTTATTTATTTACCAATGAGTAATTCGAAACGGTTCCTAATCGGGGGAGAGAGAGAGAGAGAGAGAGAGAAAACAAGGTACATGTACACAACAAATATAACTTTGTTTTTTTTTGCAACCAAAAAAAAAAAAAAAACAACAATTTAAGGTTTAAACCTTATTAATACAAAAAAAAAAAAAAAAAAAATACCAAACTGAAATCGAATACAAACAACAACAACAAACACTCGAACGGGTAATTATTAAGGTTAAATACCCAAAAAAAAAAAAAAAAAAAAATCCGGCGCGATATACCCTTAAAAGTAAGGTTAAAGGATGTCACGACGGGGAAGGGTAGGGGTAGGGGGTGCGTGCGTGTGCGTGTGCGCGTGTGTGGAGGAGGTGCCACGTTTAAATATGAGATTTAAATTTCTTATTGAAAATAAATAAACGTCGTGGAGGTAGATGATAGTTGTTGTTGTTGTTGTTTTTGTTATTATTATTATTATTAATCAAGGACGACAACGCGTCAAATTTTTTTTTTTTAAATAATATTTTATATATTTATGTGATTGGGGAGAAAGAGAGACAGAGTGAGTGAGAGAGAGAGAGAGAGAACGATTTTTGTGGGCTCATTATTAAATAATAATAATAATAATAATTAACAATACGTCATTTAAAATTTGACCTTATATCTATTTATAGGATAAACATGTTGTTGTTCTATTAACGGTTGTCCAATCGTTTGTTACCGATCGAATTTCTCATATTGTTCTTGTTTGTTTTGTTTTGTTTTATAATTTTTGATACAATTCTGTCTTATTTTCAGATAGATTTCTTTAGAGAAGGCGAACAATCTTGCGATATATTCGACGGTGAAAATGGGATATTGTTCGTTAAAAAACCCGACGGAAGATCCACCGGAGATGCATTCGTTCAATTCATACACGAATCCGAAGCCATAGCAGCTCTCAGCAAGCACAAAGAACTCATAGGTACCAGATACATTGAATTGTTTCGTAGCACGCCGGCGGAAGTCGAACAAGTTAGTCGAAATGATATCTATATGTTTGTTTTAATTGAAATTATTCCCCGGGGGGGACAAGGGGGAAGATAAACTTTTTTTTTTTTTTTGCTCGGGCTAACTCATAAAGTTTTAGGTTTTAAGAAAAGCTCAAGAGTCCAAGCCCAGAGTACCTGCTGTACAGTTACCGTTAGTTGCTCCCATACCTCCGGCGGCCGTACCGCAACACGTTATCACGTCTGGCACTAAAAAAGATTGCATTAGGTTGAGAGGTTTGCCCTACGAAGCTCAAGTCGAACACATATTAGATTTTTTAGGTGATAATGCCAACAATATCGTTCTCCAAGGTGTTCACATGGTTTACAATGTTCACGTGAGTAAAATTTATCAATTCGAAAAGAATTCAAGATGTTAGTAGGGCTCATTCGATTTTTGTTTGGTACCTTTAGGGTCAGCCCAGTGGTGAAGCTTTCATACAAATGGATTCCGAAGTCTCGGCGAGTCAAGCGGCGAATCATTGTCATCATAGATACATGAATTTTGGTAAAAAGCAAAGATACGTTGAAGTATTTCAATGTAGCGGCGACGACATGAACGCGTTTTTAACGAGCGGTCACGTGTCACCCAAAGCAACACCCGTCATCAATCCAGGTATTGAAAACAACATTCCAGGGATGGGTGTGCCACTTTCTTCTACTCTCCTTTCTTACTACGAACCGTCTCCCGTGTCTCTCATGCCTTTCGTACAAGCGAATCCTTTTTTATTTAATCCCTTCGGATTGCAACACCCTCAGCAACTGTCGGCGGCCGCGGCCGCAGCCGCGGCGGCTTCTTTCATAAACAAACATCCACATCCGAAAGGTCTTTATCCCATAACGTCAAATAATTATCCGTGGACGTCGTCCGACGAGTCGTTCAAACCCTCTCCCGGAAACATAACGAACGCGGGAGAAACTTTGGTAAAACCGAAAGGTGCGGAACCGGAAACGATACCGACGCAATCCGACGTGTATTCTCCTTATTCGACTCCATCTCATCCTAGCGTTTATTTCTTTCATCCGAACGTTCCTCCCCGAGTCGTTGCAAATCCGATGTTTCCAAAACCCGGTTTCCCATCCGTTCCGACTCCCTCCTCCGTCGTTTTCCCTCAAATGACTCCGCAATTAACTCCAATGGGTGTACTGGGTGTGAAAAGATCTTGGGAGCAAGCTTTCCCTCTGGAGACGGCAGCCGTGCAAGGAGCCAAACGATGGCCAACTCCTCAGATTGCTACTTTTGCAGTTCCTGGGTTCTTTCCTGATGTGGGTTAAACTTTCTATTTGTGCGTTTATTATTATTATTATTATTATTATTTATATATAATTATTTAAGTTTTTCCTTTTTTTGCTTTTCGGCAAAAACAAACAAACAAAACAAAACCAAGAAGGTGAAAAATGACGTGAGCGAATTTGTAGCCATTTTGATTTTTTTATTTTGAGATCGTCAAATTTTTTTTTTATATATAAAAAATGAAAGCATAACAAATGAAAATTCATACTCATATTAATAATATATATATATATATATATATATATATATATATATATATATATATATATACATAAATTATGTACATAAAAACTTATTAAATTATTATTATTATTATTATTATTGATATTATTCGTATTTGTAATGAATGATGCTCTTTTTTTTATTTCAAAGCTGCCAACGAGACAAGACTCTTTTTCTCTCTCTCTCTCGTCGTCTCTCCCCTCCTCCCCCCCAAAAATTTCAAACTTTTAATTGTGGGGAGGTTCTAAAAGGAGGAGGAGGAGGAGGGAAGGGAGGGAAGGGCCCTCCCCCTCTCTCCAAAAAAAAACGTTACGTGACGTCATGTGTGATATTAATACCCATTTAATTAATTAATCAATCAATCAATCATTAACGAGACTGAACTAATTAATAAATTAATTTTTTGTTTTTCGATTTGTTATGTTGGTATAGCTATTTTAAATAATAATAATAATAATAATAATAATAATAATAATAATAATAAAGAAAAAAAATTTGACGTCACGTTATTTCCCCGCCATTTTTTTTTTTTTTTTAAATTTTGTTCTCTACAAACTTTTCATGGAATATTTGATAAATAAATAAATATGATATTGATTTATCTTATCAGTTATCGATTATACGTTATCTATCGATCATGTCAATGATTAATAATAATGATAGTAATAATACTATTAATATTAATAATAATAATAATAATAATAATAATAATGAATTAAATTTTTTTTTTTTTTTGCGAAAAGTCTCAAAGTCATTTTTTCACCGAAATCTCGCACCAAAGGGTTGTAAATGACAATATTTATAATAATAATAATAATAATGATGATGATTTTTTTATACAATAATATATATTGATATTACGTTTTATTTATTATTATTATTATTATTGTTATTAATTATGCTTGCGAATAGCTACACGTGAGGGATGTGTGAAATGAAAAAAATTATCACGTGTAATTATTATCCATATGTTTAAATGGATTTTTGTTATTGTTGTTATTATTATTATTACTATTATTATTGTGATTATTAATACTATTTGCAGTCGTGCGTTTGAATGATCGAGTAAAGAGCCTCGAAAAAAAATCGTTACGATCGCGATTATTTTATTAATTATGTTATCGATAAGAAATAAAATATGAATTGGGTACACGTGTGCACGTGTGCGCGCGTGCTCGCGTTCGATATGCATGCCCGTTTTGTGTGTGTATTTATGTGCGCGTGTATCACGTACATGTACATGTTTACGATGATAATAGTAATAATAGTTATAATAATAATAATAGTAATAAGTTATTTTTTTTAAAATTAATTAATTAATTAATAAAAAACATGCTGTGATTTATACGTTATCATTATCATCATTATCAAGTAGCAAATTCATTATTATTATTATTATTATTATTATTATTATTGAATTTTTAAAAAATCGAATGGAATTCGTAATTTATCGGTGATAAGTTTTTTTTTTTTTTTTTTTTTTTTTTTTTTTATCAACATTGTAAACACGTAATCGAACTTTTCAAATAATGATAATGATATTTTTAAAAAATTATTTATTTTTTTTTTGGCGGAAATCGTTAAAACCGGAAGTAATATAAAAGGTTAAACCCGTTCGAGAAAAAAATCAATCATTTTGATTAAATGCCACGTTTTATCATCAATGCAAAATATTTATAATCGTTTTTATAAATAATAATAATAATAATAATAATAATAATAATAATAATAATAATAATAATAATAATAATAATAACGATAGTGATAATGATGACGATAATAATAATAATTAACATGGGATAATAATCAATATTTTGATAACGACAACAACAACAACAACAACGGCAAAAATAATTGTTTACATAAATATATATATATATACTTAATAACAATAATAACGGAATCGAGGGGAAAAGGAAAAAACGATTTTGCTGACATCTGTCGATGAAATTAATAAATTATATGTAAATAAGTGATTTTAGTTGTTAAACGAGACGTTTAGATGTCGTTTTTTTCTTTCCTTCCCTCCATTTTCTGTTTAAAAACGTTTTTTTTTTTTTAAAAATGAAAACAGAACGGATATTTAAAATAAAATTATTTTTATTATTAAAATATAATACTAGTATCACTGTTTTTTTGTTTGCGTGTGTTACGTGTGAGTGTGCGTGTGCGTGCGTTATCACTTGTACGTAATTACAAATAAAAAGAAAAAAAAAACTTCCATGACACGATACATAAACAAATGTGATGATGATGATGATGATGGTGTCGTCATCATTTAATCCAACCGAATGTGTTAAATGATTACGTCATGAATAAAATTGTGTGGGGTGGTGAAGGGGAGGAATGAAGAGTAAACCCGAGAAACCTTATCCGGTTAAATGTTTATAAACTGGGAAAAAAAAAAAAAAATATCGATGTCGTCATCATCGTGCATTTGCTTTATGCCCGTAGATTCGATTCCCCGAATATTTTCACGTCTTCCCTTTACTCCTCCCCCTCACTCCCTTTAAAAAAAGAAAAAAATCTTAACGCGAACGCCTCCCTTCTCCCGCCCCCCACGAAAAAAAAAAAATTTTTTTACTTAAAGCTCCTACGAACGTTTATTTATTAACGCCCCAGGTGTTTGAAGAAAATATATTTTTTTTACTTTATTATTATTATTATTATTATTATAAATTTCTAGGGGTAAAGTGTATGTAAGATGGAAGAGAGGGGGGAGGAGGAGGTAGGAGGCATGGTTTTTCATGTCGGAAAATGGTTTTTTTTTTTTTTTTTTTGCTTTTTGGGGACTGGATAAAAAATTCCGAAAAAAAAAAATTCTTCGCCATTACGTACACTTGCAATATTTGCGATGCTGTTTTCTTATTTTTTTTGTCGGGGGAAGGCGGGGGGCGGGGAGGGAAGGGAGGTAAGATCGGGTAAAAGGAGCGGGAAAACGGGAAAATAAAATTTTCTTTCTTGTTTTTTCTTTTTTTTGTTATAATAATCCGGTGAGTTTATTTTTAAAAAAAATTTTTTTGTTATTATCATTGTTATCATTATTATTATCATCATTATCATTTTTTTTTTTTTTAAGGTTCCGGACCGTATTTTGGTTGTCCTTTTCCAATATACACGTTATATTATCCGACGCAACCTCCACCGATTTTTGATAATAATAATTATTATCCGGTTTCACCACCGATAGCGGCCATTAATTCTCCAAAGGTAACTAAATTTTTTTTTGCCTCCCTCCCCCCTCCTTCATTTTCTCCAGAATTACTGGATAAAAGAAAAATTCATTCATTCATTCATTAAATTTTTTCAGTGGTGTTTAACATATCCAAATTCATAAACTCAAATATATATATATATATATATATATAATCATCATCATCATCGAAAAAAAAAAAAAAATGGCGAGAAGCGATCAACGTGTGACGTCATCATCGTCATCATCTACCGGAAGGTACGAAAAAAAAAACAAAACTAAAAATTACTTGGAGACAACGAAACAACAGGTAAAAATTTTTAAATTACGATCTCCATTTCCCCTTCTCCCCTCCCTTCTTCTCCTCCTCCCCCTTCATTTCCCCTCCCCATATCCGGTTATATATAAATATATATATAAAAATTTCAATCATGTAAAGTTACCGAATGTATTTATAATAAAAAAAAAGCAAATTGTATTATTATTATTATTATTATTATTATTATTATTTAAATAAATTAAATTTATTTACGCGCCTTTTCTTTTTTTCTGCTTCCGCATAATCGAAAAAATATTATTATTATCACGACTACGTGATAATTAAAAATGACTTGTTTTCATTTAAATAAAAATGGCGGATTTAATTAAAAATAATTCGAACCACAGTTTCCGCTCCTTCCGCCACAAACACCCGCACCTCCCCCTCATACCCCGCCCGCGAGAGGGGGGCGCGAGCCCGTAAATGTTTATAATGATTGTTTGTTTATCCGATCGAAAAGGTTTTCGTTAAAAAAAAAATGGAAAGGGAGGTAAACCGGAAACGAATTGATGAAAAACCGGAAATGATTGTTTAAATCACTCGCAGTCACATAACAAGAGTTATCCCTCTCCCCCCCTCCCATACTCCGATTACGCGAGATAGATGAGATAATTATTTTATTTTTTGTAAAGAAAAAAAAAAAACAAATCGTGGTTTTAGTTAGACGATCTCCCGTTCTAGTGGCACGTTTCCGTGTGGGTGCGTGCGCGTGCGCGTTACGCGGGGGAAAAATTAAAAATAGAAAAAATTTTTTTTTACTTTCTCCCGTCGGAAAAAGTAACAACTTGTTGAATTTCGATTCGAATGAGGAGCTTTGGTGGTGAGGGGGGATAAGAAAAATCGAAAGGAAGGTTTTTGGGGGGGGGTCGGGAATGAGGGGGGGGGTAAGAAAATAGTCAAGGTCCGATCGGGTTTTAACTTGGGTAAAAGATTTATTCCGATCGACGTAGTCAGTAACCCGAGCTCCGGAACTCTCCCCTCTCCGCTCCCTTTCTGTTACGTTACGCACGCTCCTCCTCCTCCTCCCCTTCCCTCCCCATTCACCCTTTTCCTCCCCCGCTCGCTCGCTCGCTCACTCCCTCCCTCCCTCTCTACTTCTGCGTATTCATCCCACGTTTTCGAGCTGAAATCATTTTCGATATTTCCGCCGTCGTTACCGCCACCTCTGCTGCCGGTGCTGCCGTCGGTGCTCCTGCTACCGCCGCTATCGCCGTACGACGAACGGCTTCAGTTAGTTCTGAACGGTC